AGTGGAAAAGGTTCCCTGAATTTTTCTCCTTTCGATGACTCTTTTGTTGGAAGAAAAGTAGAAGATACCTTATGTTTTATCACAGGATTAACAAAAGTAAAAGTAATTGGAGGACAGCTTCAGATGGAAAGTGTGGAGTTAGGATGAGTACCTAGTAAACCTGGGCAGACAGAACCACAGATTGGGGGGTTGGGGGAGTTTGTCTGCTGAACCCATTCCAGTTCAAGCAGAAGTTTTGAAACCAGTGCCTGGGGGTTTTGCCCCAGGTGCCAAGAGGTGCTGTATGCTGTTTACAGCGTCTTGGTGGTGCCTTTTTTTTTTAAGTATGCCAATCAACAGAGGCAGCCAAGATGAATTCCAGAGCCATATTTAGGGACGTTAAGAGGGTGACAGAAGTTAGTCTCTGAGATGGAAAGAATACAGTGGAAAGCAGGTGAGTGTGTTCTGATAAGGAGACTAGATCCTGGACAGGCTCCAGAGCTGAGTTGTTGTTCTAAGGAAATACACGCACCTCTGTTGCTAGCTTGTTTATTTGAATTTGTGAAAACAATGGTGTGGAGACTTACATTTCTGAATAAACATATTTCAGGAGACTTCCTAGAATCAAGTCACTCATGATTGATGCTAAAAGAAACTCACCCTAATACTGGAAATGTTTTAACTCATGCAGAGTCCTGGTGTGGCACTGTGGGCTAATGTGCTGGACTGCAATGTCGGTTTGAATCCCAAGGTCGGTGGTTCTAACTCACCAGCCGCTCCTTGGGAACCTTATACAGGATCACTGTGGGTTTGAACCAACTTGACTATACTTATCAACAACATAACTAATTTAGAAATTTTGTAAAAAATGTATCTGCAGAGCCACAAGCAACCAGAAAAAGGACTGGATGCTTGAAATGAAGAGACAGCAACCATGAGGAAGATGGTGTTACAAAACGGAATGACTTTAGGCATAATTATTAGAGCTTCAGGAAGTAGTTATGCTTTACAAGAATGTTGTGTATATAGTACTGACGGTGAAACTTCAGTGAATCATACAATTAGGTAGAACTGAACACACTGGAAATGATACTTGGTACTCGGTGGACTGAGATCAAGGAGTGTGTCTCTGAATGGAAACTAGGCAAACATACATGTATAACATGTATAAACATACATGCATGTATAACACGTATAACAACTCCAATGTTATCTTAAGTTGGAGTGCGAATTCACCTAGTTATTTATATATGATGGCCCCATTTATATCTCCAGTTCGCGGTTTTAAAGTCATCGTAAATTTTATGTCCAAAATGTAACTGTAGATTCACCTTCTTAGCCCTCTTAAAGGAACTATAAGTTTTGCTCTCCCAGTCTTTCTTAATCCCAGTCCCCTGAGCCGGTCACAAGAGAGTCACCCAGGATTCATCACTATCACTCACACTTCAAGTGATCTTCTATCCAAAATGCATTTCACTTTTTTTTTTCCATCCCTCTATCTTTATTGGAGTCCCGTGGTATGGCGCTGTGGATTAATGCGCTGGACTGCAAGGTCGCTTTGAACCCCGAAGTCGGTGGTTCAAGCTCACTAGGTGCTTCTCGGAAGCCCTATACGGTACTTAGCAACAACAACAGCATCTCTACTGTCACTTTCCTGGTCCAACCTACTATCTTTGTCTTCTGGGGAATGAAAACATTCACACATATCGTCATCCCAATTCCACTTCTGATCCCCTTCAACTGATGTGCCTGCTTTGTAGACCCCATCTCCCTGTTCCTCCAGACTTCCCAAACTCAGTACTTGGTACTGCTATCCACTTGGTTCGTCCAATTCGAGATCTTGGAGTCATCCTTGTTTCCTTTCTGTCCCTCACCACTCAGACAGTTTCCATTAGCAAGTCCTACTGGGTTTTTCTTCAAATGGAGGTCGCTGCTCTTGTCCCCCACATTCCTGCTGTAGCAATCACAAGGACTCAGGGTTCCTTCACCATACTTCCTCCAGTCTAAATAATGACACTCAATAGTCACTCTTGGCCTGTCTACATTCCCAGTCCTTACCACATATGAGAATCCTGGTGTAGCACTCGAGGGCAAGCCCTGGATTGCTAGCCTCTTCAAATCCACCAGCTACTCCTTGGAAACCCTATACACATCACTATGATTTGAAACCAACTCAGTGGCACTTAACATTAACAACAACTACATAAACAGATGTGTGCAATGATTTGTTTTGTTTTTCACCAGATTGGGCAATAAGTGCTGTCAGGGAAGCTAATGACCATTGTGCTTATGACTGTTGCTGATGCTAGTGTCTGATATTTCTGATAAGTTCTTGATAAATATTTGTTGAGTGGAAGTGAAAATGGTTAACATGGATAATTTTGACCTGAACAACCTACTTTGGTTATGCATGAACATATATGTATATGTTATGTGTTGTTATGTGCTGATCAGTTGGTTCCAACCCATGGTGACCCTGTACAGGGTTTCTGAGGAGCAGTTCTCTCACTCTCTGTACACACACACACACACACACACACACACACACACAGAGAAAGAGAGGACTCCTGGTGTGGTGCTGTAGGATAAGCACTGGACTGCAAACCACAAGGTTGGTGGTTCGAACCCAGTAGTCGTTCTTCTCCATACAGCATTGTTATGAGTCTGAATCTACATGTTGGTACTTAACAACAACTACAAATACCAAGCCATGGTGATTTCAATAACCTCCTATGGATGTGAAAGCTGGACAGTGAATAAAGAGGATCGTAGAAGAACTGATGCCTTTGAGTTGTGGTGTTGGAGGAGAATATTGAGGGTGCCATGGACTGCCAAAAGAACCAATAGATCTGTTTTGGAAGAAGTGCAGCCAGAGTGCTCCTTGGAGGCCAAGATGGCTAGGCTTCGTCTCGCATACTTTGGACACATTGTCAGGAGGGAACAGTCGCTGGAGAAGGATGTCATGCTGGGTAAGGTGGAGGGTCAGAGAAAAAGAGGAAAACCCCCAACTAGATGGATTGGCCAGATGGCATCACTGATGGACTCAAGTGTGGCAGCGGTAGTGAGGGTGGCCCAGGATCGGACATTGTTTTGTTCTGCTGTGCATGGGGTCGCTATGAGTCGGTTCCGACTTGATGGCACCTGACAACAACAACAAATACATAGCGTAAGCACTGGACTGCAAACCCCAAGGTTGGGGATTTGAGTCCACTGGCTACTCCATGGGAGAAAGATGAAGCTTTCTGCTCCCACAAAGATTGACTTCTTGGAAACCCTATGCAGGGTCATACTGAATAGGAACCGACTCAATGGCACTTATCAGCAACAACAACATACATGTAATTGAGAAGGAGCCCTAGTGGCTTATTGGGTTACATGTTGAACTGCTAATTCAAGGTCAGCAGCTTCAGTCTATCAGTCATTCCTCAGGAGAAAGACAGGGCTTTCTGACCCAGTAAAGATTTGCAGCCCCACAAACCCTCTACCAAGTTGCTATGAGTCAAATCTGGCTGGACGGCACATAACAACAGCATGATAATTTTTTAAAAAGGTACTTTTCATCTTAAAATAAATATGTAGCTTTCCAGAAAAATTTTAGGTCCTATGTTACTTATGGATTCCTGGTGTGGTGCTGTAGGATCAGCACTGGACTGAAAGCCACAAGGTCAGCAGTTCAAACCCACCAGCTGCCCCTCAGAAAGCCTCTACAGGGTCACTATGAGTCAGAACCAGCTTGAAGGTATTCAACAACAGCAACATGGGATTTAGAGTCAAAGACTTTGCTTCTCTCTGATCTTGAACTTTACACTCTGGTCTTAAAAGGATCTGACGAAGGCTCTGACTTCTGCTTTCCTTTATTTTCTCGTCATTTACATACCTGATTTGGGATACGATGCAATGATCAGGTCATCAGGTTTGGCTTGGAAGTCCCAAATTTTGTCCCAGCTCCTGCATAATTTCTTTTGTAGAAGGATGCCATCCAATATGGAAAATTCACATAAAGCTAGGATGTTGCATTCTGACTCCTCGTTGTCGTCTACCTTCTTGTTGGCCATTTCTACATCTAAGTGAGCACTAGCTGAAGAAATTGAAGAGTAAATGAAAGTTGGAATTTATGTAGGCTTTATATCTTGATGCCTTGAGTACAGAGCTTTGGCCATTGGTTTCAGGTATGTATGCTCAAACAAAGAGATAATTTTTGTAGTTCTTTAAATCTGAGTGAAACTGGAACAGAATCTTCAGCTCTGTGCCAGAATAGATATTTACCTTCCTTACTGGCTAGGCTCAGGCAGTACCTCAAATAGATACTGCCAGAAAGAAGAATGGGGGGCATCTGTACTAAGGGACTGCCCAAATCACCCAGATCACTTCCTACATCTTACAGATGCCCTGAAGATGGAAAATCGAGAGGAAATCCTGAAAGATTGTCTGAAAGAAACCACCAGGAACTGGCCTCTTTTCTTTCTTTTCACCTTTTGTTCTTTTTCTTATGGAAAAGTGCTTCTCTGTTCTGAATTTGCTCATCAGTAGAGAAGCTCTTTCTCATTCCTGTTGAAAGATCACATGTTAGCTTTAAATGTAGATTCACCAGTTGGCAACTTTGAAATTCGTTCTAGTTCCTAAGATGGTTGTGTTGTTACTACTCTTAGATGCTATTGAGTTGGTTCAATTCATGGCTGAAAAGTCAGCCTAAAGATGAATTCAGCTCCAGATCTGAAACATGACTAAGGACCGTTGTCTTGGGGGTTCCTCCAGGCTCTATTTGACCAGTAAACCAGGTCTTTTGGATGATTTTGAGTTTTGTTCCACAGTGTCTCTCACAGTGCCAAGAGTATTCTATTGTGACCCCTTTCAGAGCAGTGGGTATTGGTAGGCAACAGCTATCTAGTCCTTCTGGCATTGGGACTCCTGAGGTGTTTTCAAGGCTGTAAACCTCATGGAAGCAGACTGTCACAGCACTCTCCATAGGGGTAGCGAGTGGGTTTGAACTTCTGACCTTTGGCTTGATAGCTGAGCACTTAACCACTGCACCACTAGGGCTCCTTTAAAATATATGTTGCTGTTGTTAAGTGCTGTCGAGTTGGTTCTGACTCATCGTGACCCTCTATAAGATTTTCAAGGAGCAGCTGGTGGGTTTGAACTGCCGATCTTGCGGTTCACAGTCTAGTGCTGATCCTACAGTGCCATACCAGGATGTTTATGTAAAGTAAAGTGCACACACGTTACAGTTTGATTAATTTTTATTTGTACAACACCTAGGAATCCTGGTGTGGCACTATAAGATAAGCACTGGAACGCTAACTGCAAGGTAGGTAGTTCAAACCCACCAGCTGCTCCTTGGACACCATAGACATGATCACTGTGAGTCAGAACTGACTTGATGGCACTTAACAACAATAAGCCTCCAGGTAACTATCAATCAGGTTAAAATATAGATCAGCTTGTAGCCAAACACTAGACAACCCTATCAGATGAGTACACACACCAGGAAGGAGCATGCTCCCCAGTACAGTCAACTTTTTGAGACCAAAAATGCCCGTGTTTGCCCAAAAACAAGTTTCAGAAGGCGTGAAGGGGGTAGGAAAGAAGGACAGTTAGAAATGGGGACTGACGAAGAAAACCGGGAGGGTGCTCTTGCACCCAGGCGATTGCAACCATGTCCCACAGCAAAATGTGTGTCAGTTGTTGAATGGAAAAGTTTGCTCTGCAAACTCTCCCCCAAATGACAATAATAATAAAAAAAGATATAGACCGTTTCCATCTCCTAAGAAAATGCCATTTCCAGCCAATGCTTTAGTACTGCCTTGTGGCCAAGACGACTATTTAGACTTGTGTTACCTGGTTTTGAACTTCAGATTCATACAGTCTATTCCTTTGTGTTTGGCTTCATTCAACATAATAATTTTGAATTCCTCAATATTATTGTGACTCTCAGTAGTTCATTTATTTCTACGGCTGTGTGTTGTGATATTTTACTGTTAACAGTTGATTTTTCCATTCTTTTCGTGGACCCATGGGTTGATTTCAGTTTTTGATGATTATAAACAGTCATAATATCTGAGACATCAGGAGTCATAGCCACAGGAAACTACCTCCTCAAACTCCTAGGAGAGCTGACTATACTAGTACATCTTCATAAAGTCGTCAGCCCACCTGGTGCCCTGTCTTCCGCAGACTCTCCTCTTCGTCAGCTGCTTCTCAGATAGGGATGCTGACTTGACTCCATTCTGACAAGCTGGGACGTAGCTCAGGTGGAGTGTATGCTCTATAGCTGACTTGTTGCTTCTCTTCTGGTCTCTCTGAACAGTTCATGCCTCTCCATATTCCTCAAGACTATTGTTATGAAGTGCTGTCGCATCTGTTCCAACTCACAGTGACCCTGTCACTGCACATCAGAACGAAACACTGCCGGTCCTATGCCATCTTCACAATGAATGCAATGTCTCAGCCCATTGTTACTGCCACGGTGTCAATCCATCTCATTGGGGGTCTTCCTCTTTTTCACTGACCCTTCACTTTACAAAACATGGCGTTCTTCTCCAAGGACTGGCCTCTCCTGACATTTTCAAAATATGAGAGATGAAGTTTCGCCAACCTGGCTTCCAATTGTTTGTTCTTCTGGCAGTCCATGGTACTTTTAATATTCTTCTCCAACCCCATAATTCAAATGGATCCTCAAGGCTATTATTTAAAAATCTCCTCATTATTTGTGAGACCTATTGCTACTATTTCCTGCCCTTCTTTTAAATTTGTGTGTGAACCTTCAGGCTGTAATAACTGACTTCCTTTTCATGTCAGGGTTGTTGTTGTTGTTAAGTGCCATCGAGTCAGTTCTGACCCATAGCCACCCTGTATAGGGTTTCCAAGGAGTGGCTGGTGAGCTTGAACTGCCGATCTTGCAGTTCCAACGGCTTTGCAGTCTGGCACATTAACCCACAGCACCACACCAGAAATCCCCATATCAGGGTGCCCCCTTCAAAAAATGTCAAATCATAACTAGAAACTGTTATTGTTGGTAATTTTGATGTTAGAGGTTATAGTCAAGACAAGAAAGAAAGAAAATTATAGTGGACATATCAAATTTAACATTGAAAACTTTTGTGACTTACTAGATATAAGACTGAAGAAACCATAGACATTGTACATCTGGGTACCTGGGAAAATGTTGGGTCACTGAAAACAAGTACAGAGGATAATGAAGGGCATAGATGTGCTTACTGAAGGCCTTGTTCCTCCAGCTCTTTCTCCTTCCTTGGAAGCTTGTCAGAGGGAGAGAGTGATTACTTTGCACAGATCATACCCTTCCCTTCGGAGTGTGCTTTCCATGGCTGGTTGACAGGGTCACAGTGCATAACAGAACCCGAACTGATGGGGCAGCAACTCTGAAAGGTCATCCCAACTTCAGACTGTGTGATGGGGTTGGACAAGGCTTTGGGTGGGTTCAATGTCTCTTCTGTTCAGTCCAGCAAATTTCCTTTCTCTTCTATGATCGTCTAGATCCCAAACGCCTGCCCTGTTAAATGTCCTACGCACTTAGATCCACTCAGAGCCTACCTCTTGGAAAGCTGATCTGTCACATGATTCAAAAAGAACTTGGTTTGGGAGTTAGGACACTGATTAGGGTTATGACAGATTGACTGAAAGTAGCAGAGCTTGGAACCCAGCAGCTGGAGGGTATTATGTGTGTGTGTGTGTTTGTTGTTGTTTTTTAAGATTTTTATTGTGAATTGAGTGAACGTTTACAGGGCAGGTCATCAGTTTTACATTCAACGAACCATTCACCTGTTTCATTACAGTGATTATAATCCCCTCCATGTACCATCAGTTAACAGTATTTCTCTCTATGAACTTTAGGCCCCCCCCCTTTTTTTTTAAACACTCAGGCATATATAATAATTTAAACCACCAAAGGGCACATTCTGCAAGCCTGCCTCCTGACCATCAGCTCTCAGTCCCTCTCTTCCCGTTTATCTAGAGTCCTCAGCTGCTTCCTCTCTCCATGTCCCCATCTCTGCCTCCATTTCTGGTGTGGCTGCTTTTCTGGATAGGGTCTCGTGTTCTGCTTGTGCTCTTCCTCCTTGATGGTCCTAGAGTCCTCTGTTTCTGGACTGTAAGATTAACTACTGCCCTGTTTTTGTTACAAAACTTCTACCTTTATAGTTGTGACAGTTGCAATCAGTCATGATAATAGTTGCTCATTCTTGGATCATAAGAATCTTATTCCCATCTCTTTTCACCAGACCCATCTAGACAAGATGAAAACGATTCAGTAGGGACTCTACTTCGCCCCCTTCCCCACACACTCTTAAACTAAACCCCCTCTTGAAAGCTTGTAATCTAGTCACTTCATGCCTTTCTCACCCCCTCATTTTAGGTAGCCAGTGTCTACCCTTCCCTATCTACCCTTTGTACAAAGGGTATAGCATTGATACTTGATGTGAAGACTCCTTCCTCTCTGTTGGTATTTAGAGTTACTACCTCCATGAGTATAGGTCAAGTTCATCAAATTGTAGCAATTTACCCTCATTTCCTTTATCAAAATGTTTTTATTTTTTATTTTCCTATAGTTGCATTCTGATTATCAAGCCATCGAGGCTAGGTCAAATGGGTACCATCTGCAAGTTTGGGTGTTCTTGTGCGCCTCCCCTCACTTCATATCAGCTGGATGTTTTACTCTCAGCTGTGGCTGTGTCCTTGTCCATGAACTCAGGTGTCCCCAGGTATCACCACACTTTGGACCAACCAGCCCTTCCTCTTCTCTCTCTCATCTCCAGGTCAATGGGAGTCCATGGACTGTGGTTGAACCTAGCCCATTTCTTCATTGCTGCCTTTCCCCCTCTTCCACTCACCAGTAGACCAATGTGGTCTCCAGCAAGCTTACATGCCTGCTCATGTGTTCCTTTTGAGTTTCTGTCTTAGAGGGGGATTTGTCCTTGAAGGAACTTGATTGCTTGCCTTGATGGTTCCAGAGCAAACAACTTGCTTATTCTTGTAGTAGCCAGTCAAACTGCCATTTTTTTCCCCCCTGAAGATCTTTCTTTGAAGATGTGTCTTC